TGGAAACTGGATAAAGAAAACGTGGTGTTTTATAAAATGGAGTACTACTCAGCCATAAAGAATGAAAAACTAGAGTCATTTACAGCTAAATGGATGCATATTGAGGCCATACTCTTAAGTGAAATAAAGAGGACACACATGTGTAAATACCAAATAGTTTCTCTAGTGTGAGAAACTGATAGTGTAAACAAGGGTTAAAATGATTAAAATGAATAATTAATAATTTGAAATGTACTATGTATAATTTTAAAGCAGAATTCTTTCACTTAGAAATATGCTTTTGAGACTAGCGTAGTATATGTTACTGTTTTAGATTTAAATTCCTAAGTCTCTAAAAGTTCTGAGCACCTTTTCATGTGCTTACTGGTCATGTCTAGAGCTTATTTAGAGAAATGCTTATTCAAATCATTTATCCATTTCATTGGGTGTTTGCATTTTTTTATTGAGGGAGATGCCTTAATATATTCTGAAAAAGACACTAATGACCCACTTGGTTTCTAAATATTTTATCCCATCTTTGGGTTGTCTTTTTTTAAATATTGTACTTAAAATAATGCAAGTTTTAAATTCAGACAATATTCACTTTAGCCTATTGACTCTTGTTGAGAATATTATAGAAAATATTATACAAATCATTGTTTAACAAAAGGCTATTGGAATTCATTATTTTGTTCTCTTGTACAGGTTTTGTAGTTTTAGCTCTTGCACCAGATCTATGGAGCATTTTTTGTCAATATGTATGTTGCAAGAGGGAAGTGCCCAATTTGCATGTGGTTATCCTCTGTTCTCAACAAAGCTGAAAAATTTGGTACCACTGCCCAGGATATAGCTCAGTGGTGCCGCCACCTGCCTTGCAAGCTCAAGGTCCTGAGTTCAACCCTAGAACCAAAAAAAAAGTGGTACCTTTGAATTGTTTGTGGAATCTTTTAAAAACTGATCTTCCAATTACGTTTTAAACTTTTTTGACACAGGGTCTGGGCTGGCTGTCAATTTGTGATGTATCCCATGTGGGCTTAAACTAGTGATCCTTCTGCCTCAGCCTCTGGAGTACTGGGATTATAGGTATGTGCCAATGTGTTCTGCCCCATGGTTAATTATTTGAACTCCCAGTTCTACTCTGCCCCTCTATATCTTTGCCTTTGTACTAGTAGAAAAATATCTTGATCACTAACATTTCCAGAAAGTGTTGAAATAGTAATATGGGGAAAGTACTTCTTTTTCTCTTTTTTTTTGAATCAGTATTATCTTGGCATTTCTAATTCAATTTTAGAAACTGCCAATTAATATAAAATAAGTCCACTAGAAATTGGAGAGATTCTTTTTTCTAACAAATATATTTTATTGAATGTATAGAAATATTTGGGACATATTTCCAATATATGAAACATTCTGATCAATGAAGGTGAAGTTTCTAATCCTTCATATATTCAGGATTTTGTTTTTCATACATATGTGTAACCTTAAGGATACATAACTATTGTGATGTTTTATTCCCAAGAATTCCTCTTGCAGTGCTAGTTTAAAAGGAATTCCTGTTTGAATATCTAGGTTGCCAATTCCTAGTGTGAAGATACAGTTAATTTTTATATACTGAAATGGTGTTAGTCTACCTCCATGAGGTTGTTCTTTAGTTTTAATCCCATGTCAAGGTGTTTCTTGGCAAGTCCTATACTCAAAGTGGTGAATCACACAATGATGACAGTCAGTTATTCTTTATAACATGGATGCTTTATATTGGTCTGTTTGTGAAAAGTCATGGCTACAGATTCTAGCACAAAGTTGAACAGAATTAAAAGAGACAGCAGTGTTATCTTGCTTCTGATCTTAGGGAAAATACTAAACATTTAGGATAACTTAGCTTCTCTGAGATCTTTATGGATGTCCTTTGTGGTCTCAGCAGATTCCTTTTTTATTTTCTATTATATTCAGTGAATTTAATCTTAAAGAGCATTGACATAGTCAAGTACTGTTTAGACATTTTTAGATTATCAGGTGATTTTCTGCTCTCTTCTATTGATGAGATTGCTGAGTGTTGTATCTTGGAAATCCTCAGGTGAATGTGTAGAAGGTCTGGTATTCACATCGGGAATATTTTCAGGTGGTAAAATCATGTAGAGATGTGGGCTAATAGAATGAAATAAGGGCTTTAGGAGTTTACTCTTGAAAGAGAAAATGGGATCCTGCCCATCTTGTCTCTCTGTTATTCCAGATGCCTTGATGTGCTCAGTTTCCTTTGATATGTACTTTCACCATGATGTGCTGCTCTGACACAGCCCCAAAGGTAACACAGTCAGCCAACCATGCCTGAACCTCTCAACCCTGACACCAAATAAACCTTCCTGCTTACAAGTCATTTATCTCAGATATTTTGTCACAGTCCAAGGCAAACTTTCCAGGAACCCTTTGCCATTACTACCTTCCTTCTCAATAGGTTTCATGAATTTTAGTCTAGTACACAACAGTGCAGTTATAGTGTTCTTGTTTCTACTTTGCTTCTGAGGTCTCTTTCAGCAGAATAAGTTTATAAATTCTACTCCTGCCCTAGCAGAACAGCAGGAGATTTCAGCATGCTTTCATAGGATACCACTTATCCTAGTGGACACCTGATGTCTAAGCCCTTTTCTTTCCCCCAGCACTTTGCCTCTCAGGAAACTTACTTTGGACCTTGTCTGACCAATCTATTTACACCAAATGTGCACTGCCTCAGAGAGCCTTGGTGAGAAAAACATCAGGATCTGAGAGAGGTGAGGTCTAACAGAGAAGACAGAACTCCCTGAAACAGATTAAGAAACACAAGCAGTACAATATTTACAGATCCCAGAGAGGAGAGAGCAGCACATCTCTTGACAAATGAGGAGGAGAAGATTCGAAGACAATATTATCAACCCATGAGCCATGGGTGACAAGGGAGGTGAGAGTGAGGGGTGTGAGTTGGAACTAGTTTGGGATCAGGACCTCCTGACGTGTTTTCTGAGCCCTTCTCATTGTCTGGTCTGAAGTAAGCAATGGGAATTTCCATGGAGTGACACCGTGCCTGGGAAGTGATGCTGCTTCAGATTTGCACAGTCCCAGTGGGATGTGCGGTCCAGGGGCTGCAGTGAAAGATGTTGTTTGCAGCCGTCCCTTAGGGAATCTGCAACAGGTAGATGTCTGGACCAAACTCCTGGAATAAATGTTGTCAGACAGGTACCTGGAAACTATGTCATGAGGGACTAAGATCTGCTTTTGGACCTGGGGCCTTGGATTTGATTACCAGCAACTTTAAATAAAAGACCACCTTCTGGTTATGACCAAGTTACTTTAGTTTCTAAATGTATGCTAGGCAAGGTAGAATTATAGAAATTAAGTATAACATATGAAATACAGATCATCCTCATTAAACAACCTACCTGTTTAACAACTGTTCAGACTTACAACCTGGCACTTGGACTTATGACTCAAACTTTTTTTTACATAGTTCTGTATATCTTGTTTACAGAGCCACAATATTTTTAGTGTACAGTATACCTTGTTTACATAGTACTCTAACTTTTGCTGATTGAACTGCATGGTACAGTGCAGTAGTTTCTGTTCTGTTATACATTACACTACTGCATATAACAGTTATGCAAATAAAAGCAAAGAATTCAGGTTGGAGTTTCCTTTGCCCATTTCTTTGTTCTGATTATTGTAATGTACATACTATATACAATTCATTTAGTGACCAATTCAATAATGACCTAGTTCCAGAAACATAACTCTGTGTTAAATACAAAGTGTCTGTACAAATTCTAGTATTCTAGGCTCCTATCAAGAAATCAACCAATCACAAATACTGGTGGGGGTGTGGAGAGAAAGGAACCCTTCTCCATTGTTGGTGGGAGTGCAGACTGGTGCAACCACTGTGGAAATCAGCATGGAGATACCTCAAAGAACTAGGCTTAGAGGTCCCATTTGACCCAGCTATCCCCCTGCTGGGTATTTTCTCAAAAGAATTAAAAGAATCATACCACAGCGATATATGTGCACCCATGTTCATAGCGGCACAGTTTGTAATAGCTAAAGCTTGGAAACAGCCCAAATGCCCATCAACTGGAAACTGGATAATGAAGATGTGGTTTTTTTATAAAATGGAGTAGTACTCAGCCATACAGAATGAGAAACTAGTGACATTTATAGCTAAATGGATGCATATTAAGGCCATACTCTTAAGTGAAATAAATAGGACACACAGGGCCGGGGATTTAGCTCAGTGGTTCCGGTGCCTGCTGTGCAAGTGCAAGGACCTGAGTTCGATCCCCAGTACCAAAAAAAAAAAAAAAAGGCACACATGCGTAAATACTGAATAGTTTCTCTAGTGTAAGAAACTGAAAGTTTAAATAAGGATTAAAATGATTAAAATGAAAAATTTATAATTTGAAATTGGAAGAAAAGTTCCAAAGGGGTAGGGCAAATGGAAGGGGAAGGGGAAATTAAAGAAAGGAACGGAAAAATTATGAGAAAAGAAAAAAATGGAAACAAAGTATTTGTAAATAGGGAAGGGAGGACAGTGAATGGGGAAAAAATAAGAACCAAGATCCATCACGTACAGGTACAAGATCCCAGTGATGAAGGTAAACGTATTGTATACCTAAAATGTGCCAATAAAAGAATTTAAGCAAAAAACTTTCTACTATTCTAATAACTCTGTTGCTTGTAATAGCTAGGTGGTAGGTAGGTATTATTGGTCAACTTCTTTGCGGGGGGTTACTGGGGATCGAGCTGAGGACCTTGTAGTTGAGAGGCAAGTGGCGGCACCAATGAGCTAAATCCCCTGCCTGATCAATGTCTTTGAAAGCATACATGTGTTCTTCAGTAGAAACCAGAGACGGGGGATAAGACCCAGTTGTTTTTCATCTGACATTCCCTGAGAAACCTTGTCTACTCCACCAGTGCTAGATAGAGTACATATTTTCAAGTCTCTAAAATAGAGATTCATCTTAAAAATGACAGTCTCAATGTACTATGGACCAGAGTTAGCCATAGTGTGATTGTTCTCAGGACACTTTCTAGGATTTGGGAGGAAAACCTTCCCCTGACCTCTCCCCATGACATCCTCAGCCTCTGCCCTTGCAGAGGGACTGTCACTAGGATGATGAGCTCATTTCATGGGGAGTAATGAATGCAGGGCTTTCTAGGAAACTTCTAATTGGCCCTAAGAGTGATGATACATTGGAAATGACAGACATGATGCATAGCCTGTTTTTATCTCCTTAATTTTCTCTCATCTTACCTTGCTTCCTTTATTATCAGTAGACGTTTCTGATGCATAGTAATCACAACTGAACTGCAGGTTGGTACAAATCCCTGTGGCATCTTGAGCCTTTTCCACCCTTCCAGCCTCCTCCCACTCAGCCCTCGCACAGCTTTGAAGGGAATTGTCTGATAAGTTTCATTTTTTTATTGTTAATGCTTGGGGTGGGAGTTCACATGCATTTTCACATTGATCATATATATCTCAACGTGCTTGGATTTAGTATTCAGTTGTAACACAATTTTTGTTTGTTCCTTTGCATTTTTTATAGACAAGATTATGTTTGGAGCCAATAGATGTTGTTTGGCTTGTTTTCACATGGAAAATCATAAGAAATATGATGCCTTCTATTTCCTTTTCTCTTCTGATAGCTCTGATGGCAGCCTCCAGTACAATGTTGAGTAGAAGTGGCAAGAATGAGCATCTTTCTCTGATTTTCTATGTTCAAAAGTGAGTCTTTTACGTTATGGTATGATGCTACTTGAATTTATCCAGATTCTATTTTAAGGGGAAAATATTCTTTTACACCTAATTAGGCTTTTTTCAATCAAATTCCTGGATTTGCACATATCCAATATTTTATCTGAGTCTTCTGAGATGTTTTTATTTTCCTGTGCACATTACATCTCTTATTTCTATATGTTACAACAAACTTGTACCATGAGTCACATTGCCTTGTTCATAGTTTTTAATACTTTTTTCCTTTTGCTCAGTTTTGCTTAGTAATACTTCTTTGAAGGTTTTCACATTTGTAGTCATTAAAATCTGTAAATTTCATTTCTTGAAATGTGTTTGTCTACTATTGGTATCAAAAAATTACCTCTTATGATTAGTTAAGAAATGTTTTTCTCTTGTGTTTTGTTTCTTTTGGGGTTTTGAGGGGAGCCCACATTTGCAAAGGTGTGGTATTAATTGCTTATGTTTGTCTGCAATTACCAGTCAAATCCTGTTGTCCTTGCAGAACAGTGAATTCTAATCACAGTCACAGGAGCACAGAATAGGACCCTTCTCCATGTGAGCCTTCAGTGCACAGTCAAGCCCTGACCATGACCACATCTGGATTCCTCACCCCGAAGAAGCTGTGAGTCATGAGTGTTAGGGTTTCAGCCACTTGATCATATGGTAATACGTTACACAGTCACAAAACCTGTCAGGAAATCAAATGCATTAACCCACTTGAACCTAGAATGAATCCTGAAATGGAAAGAAGTGATATTTTGACAAAAGCAAGAAAACAGGCAGTTCTATGTTTAGTTAGTATTTCTGTAACACTGTCAATTTCAGTTCATGTAACACGCTCTGGTTAGGTAAGGTGTTCAGATTTTAGGAAGGTGAAAGATACAAAAAACAGCCAGTACCAAGTTGAAGCTTTAGGTAAAGGTACAATTACTTTAAATTAATATTCTTCATGTGACACTGAATCCCACAACTCTCCTCCCCCAACACATTAAAAGGCCTGTGGTCCTCAGGAAGTAAATTGACACATAGTGAGAATCTCAGAGCAGCTTCTGTTACTGCCTACCATTCTGAAGACAGGAGTCTCAGCTTCAGGAGACTCCTTCAAGCTCCTGTAACACCCCTCCTATTTTTTCTATCCCACCATAAGCCCTTTATCAGTCACCTATTTGAATCCCAGCAGCTACTTATTCAAATACACAATCCATTAACTAACCTGGACCCAAAACTCCATTTTTGAATAATGTGTGATAATTATTATGAGTATCCTGCTGATACTTTTTTCAAATTTATGACCTCTGAACAAAAAAGAGTTTTATGCAACTGTCAGGTATCCATTTCTTTATCCAAACACTTGAAAAAATAAACTTCCAAAGAGCATTATTTTAGTTAACAACTCTGGAGGTAGCAGGTCATAGTCAGATGGATCCATTGCTTTTAGGCCAGTGGTGAGGAAGTCCATGCCAAGGGGCATTCAACACTCAAAGCTGCTCATCTCATGACCAGGATGGAAAAATAGGGGAAGATGACCAGGGTCCCAAAGTCCCCTTGAGGTCATTACCCCAGGGAGTAAAACATTGCACCAGCCTCTACCTCTTAGAGTTTCCACTCCCTCCCAATACTGCCAAGCTGGAACCAGGCCTGTAACACGTGGGCTTCTGTGGGACAAACGATGGCACCATGATTGAGAACTGCCAGGAAACACCATGCAAACAGAAACCACCATTCTGGATTCAGCAGAATATTTTTTTACCAGGGTTACCTTCTTAAATTTTCAAAATACAGTTGCACTTTTAAGAATTTCCAAAAGTCTTCAGAGAAGAAAATTCTTTCATTTTATAGTTGCAATCATTTTTTGTGTGTGTGACCATGTTCTGCTGTTGCTTACACACTGGAATTATTCTTTGCTAAGCCCTCGAGTCACAGAATAGTTACTGTCATGGCATCTGGTTAACTACACATAAAAAACCAAATTAATAGCATGGTGCTTTAGTCAAATTCTAAATTAGAAACATGTAGAGATCAATCTTAGACACCAGGCATTTGTCTGTTGAAGGTAATTAGTGATCAAATGTCATGTACCTTGATGGTGAAATCTGACAACAGCAAAACAAATAAATAAAATAACAACATGATCCAATTCCCCCACCTCCAACCCTACATAAGGTGATCTAACAGACAGACATGAACAGAATGAAGACTCTACACATATACTGCATAAAAAAGAATCTCACAGCAAAAAGGCCCACAGCTCATATCCACACAGCTCCATGCTCACCTGACACTTCTTGTTTGGGCAGCACTGGGATTAGTTGGTAAACTCCGTGGACAGCTGACAGGCAGGACTCCTGATTTTATGTTCTGCGATCATGGGGCTTGTTCTCCACATTACATTCATAGCTTCAGTGGGAACAGTGATTTCTGTGGCCTAGCGACCTTAAGTGAGACAGAAACATGGTCTGGATCACTTTTCTCCCTTGGGAGATCAGTGAGAACAGATACTTAGCTCCTTTATTTTAGGCATTTGTAATTTAACAAATTTTTTCACCCCCCCCTTAAATGCTTATCTCTTTCCTTGATAAAGGACAAACAGTCAAAATCCACATAAACACATGGAAATGTTTTCTCTTCACATTATTGTAACTGGAGTTCTTCTAAAATTTTTTATTAGTGCATGCTTGCAGTTTATATTACATTCCTTGTGTGGAGTTGGTATGTGTGCATAACACATCTTAATTCCTTTTTTCCTCCCCGTCTCCCTCTCCTTCTATCACTTGATCTCCTTCCCCTATGAGAAAGTAAGCAATCGTTGCCTCGGTTCCTTTCTCCATTTACATATCAGCGACTACAGTCTGACCTATCATGCGGTGTACTATGAAAATATTTCTTCACCAAAAACTCTGCATACACATGAGGGCCAGGATGGCTTGGCACCTATGGGTCTGAACACAGAGTTACAGTCTACACTGACGTTAATGAGCCCTAAGTGCTCAAGGCCAGGGGAGGACAGGTGATGGACATAAATCATATGGATGTGATGTAACAGAGACAGAGGACATGGTGCTGAGTACCTACTAAGTGACCTGTGACCAGATTTCACAGAGGCTTACCTGACCCCTAGAATTCTCAGTAAAACCTCACTGCAAACACCCTGTGACACCACACCATGAGACGTGAACCCTGTTTCTTGTCCCTACACTTGGCTGCATGGATTATGGTGTCCTACAAGGCACTGATCAAGTGTTTGACACTAAAACTTGTTCCTTATCCAACATTCCCGGTGCTGAATCAATGGGTGCAAGCTCAGCCAACACCTTACATGGTGAATGGTATTAATGCCTTCTTCAGGGTGCACCTGAGGGAAACACCAAAGCTCATTCCAATTTCCAACTACACTTAGAATAGAACAGAGTGACAAATGAGCAGATTGAAATATTGGATAAGACCATGATGCATCTACCTCTGCAGTGACTGTTCTCAAAATGATTTGTATATTTTTCTTTCATGTGATTTCAAATATAAATGGGGAATAAGAAAGAATTTGATATACAGTTGCTGTGGATTGAACAAGTAAATTTGCAAGGGAGCATTTTCAGAGGAGCATTGTAAATATTTTCAAGTGCGGGTCAGGAATTCTAAAGATATGAGGCATAATCAACATATAGAGTGCATATTTAAATTTCAAAATTTTGATACAGTAAGACACATTGCCTTTAACCCTCTTCAGAAACTCCCTCTGACTTCAAGTAAGCTTATCCCATCCGCCTTGCCAAGCTGTTAGCTGTTCTGGACGTCCTCTTTAGTGAGTATCTTTAGGAGGTATGATCAAGTAACAGTGCATGCTGTGGCTGAGTGTCATCCAGTGGGCTAGTAAAAACATTACCTTGTGTCCTCGTCAACCTTGTTTTCCAGACCTATAACCAAAGTCTTCTCGCTCTTCCCCAAAGTCAAATGACTATGAAGGGTAATGTTTTGAATCTACTAAGGATATTAAGGCAGCCACAATACTACAACTAAAGAAACTCCCAAGAGGGCTTCCAAAACTGCTTCAGAAAGTGGCAAATACAATGACATAAGTTGGTTTGAAAGAAGAGAGAGTATTCTGAGGGGAATTAATGGCAATGTGTGTTTTACTAAAATGCATTTTTGCAAATTTTTAATACACCTTATTTTTTGATCAGCCCTCGTACAACTTCTTGCAAGTCATTAGAAAACAACATTTTATTTTCTTCAGTGGATTTTTGAAACACAATTCATAAATTGTCTCTGTATATATTTATAGTGTTTCACTTTGGATTTATACTTGAGGTCTGTCTCATAAAATTTCAAAAAATTTGATTCTGGAGATTTATAATATTCATTCATGAAATACTAGTTTATGCATGTGGATGGCCTGCTGTCTGAGTGTCCACGCAGTGAGCCTGTGTTGGACAAGTGAGACATGGAGGAGGGAAATCACCAGAATGAATGAAGAAGCAGCAGCTAAGTGTCACCCAGAGAAAAGAGGTGACACAGTTCTCGGCACCAGCTCGACGGATGCAAGTAGCTAAGCCTTCGTTTTGATATTTGAAAGTTAAACTGATATTCAAGTGGATGCTGAAATGGTATAAAATTATAGGAATTCACTTTAATATATGAATAGTATCTACAGTACTCTACTGATCACTGAAACAGCGAGGTGACTGGGAAGTATAATTGGTCATTTTCTATGGAAATATATATAAGCATGTTTCCTCATTAATAGTCTAAATAAGATGACCTACTGTGATTTATATGTGAAATTAGACTCACAGAAATTTTTGTAAGGCACTACTAAATGCAGAGGTTCTATATTACATGCACAGAATATTTAAAGGCCAAATATTGTCAAATGACAATAAAAATAAACCCTTCCTCTGTATCGCAACATCCCATCACTTCTTGGCCTTTTGGCTAAGATCAATTGTAATATATTGCAACACCCCAATATTTGTTGGAGCCTGGTCTCATTTACCACAATTACACTGCACATAAAAAGGAAACCGACACTCCAGCAATGTACATTAACAGTGACATTTATATTAGACAAAGGCAAGATGATTCAAGAATGCTTTATATATCTGTGTGCCTTGATATCGGATGCATATTAAAATTGTTGCTTCCTCTTGTTGAACGGACATCTGTTTCATTATGTAATGACCTTCCTGCACTTTACTTCTTTTAATTTAAAATACATTTAATCAAACTGCTTGCTTTGGACTCCACATGCATGTCTTATCTTATTCTATCCCTTAACTTTCATTCTATGCATGTCCTCAGAGCTGGAGTGCATTTTCTGCAAAAAATGTGTGTGTGTGTTTTATATATGTTTTGCAAACAGCAAATTTGAGTATTTAGTATTTGAGCCTTGTTGTTTTACCCATTTAGCTACTCTATCTTTTAATTGGAGAATTTAATTCCCAGGCAAGCAAAACTTAAGAGGACATATACCCACCTGAACTCCCATATAGGAAATATGAAAATGAGTTCTTAAAACTAAAAGAAAGAAACATTTATGAATAAGAACAAAACATTGGAAGGTATAAAACTCACTGGAAAGAGTTCTACTGCTGGAATTAATGGTGCTTAACCATCCACATCATTAAT